CTGCCTTATTTTTTAATTCACGAACTCCGATATACAAATTTGATTAAGAATCCACCTGCAAAATTTCATCGTAATCGGTTCATTCGTTTTCGAGATATCGTGCTGACGGACAGGCGGCCAGACATCGGTAGGAGCTCGTTAATAAAGACAGATGTCCCAAAAATTTCATCAAAATTGATCTCAGTACACTTCATGTATTTATGGAGGACAGTGTATACATTCTTTCAAACTTTGAAGGCGCCTGGCAAAGTGTAAGGCCCCATTAAATGATTTATTTATTTATTTTTTCGCTCTTTAAAGGCGTAAAAAGTTCGAAATGCCTCAAGAACATTTTTTGCAAAAAAAGTTCATATCTTTAAAAATATAAGGGTTGATTTAGCCCCGCTATTCCACAGCCAGGTCTGCATTTCTGTGTTTGGGTATTATTGGAGAAGTATTGGACAAGTTTTTTTTGTGCCTCAAATACCTACCCAAAAATGTCTACCAATTCTCGAACTATTACCCTTACAAATCTTCAAAAAAAGCACATTTTGCATAGTTCCCAAAGGCACCTCTGAAGTCTGTCCCTACTAAAATATCGGCTATACCTCGAAATAATGCAATGTGACATGGGTGTCACATTATAACCAAGTAATGTCACATTTCAAAATTTTGTCGGGTGACATTTGAAACAAGTAAAAAAATTTCTTTTTGGAAACTCTGTATTAGACTTTTCTCACAAATTTAAGATTGATCGTACAACATTAAATCAAATTTCTGAATTAATTTTAATAAAAACTATTAACATAATTCATCAACATATCTACACCTAAATTCAACATAAATTTGTATAAAGAATTATCTTATATGATTGACTATAAGGTATACTCATATACTGTGTATTTAAGCAACCCTTGTTATAAGGGTAGTTCCTTTATGTTTGAATAAATGTTTTCTTCTTTTCTTCTTGGATATGCAGATGAGTGCAAGTATGCTTCCTTGACAGGCCTGACGCGAGAAATTTCTTATAAATACTATCATATCAATGTTATTTTGATTATTTTTGTAAAAAATGTAGAAATCGTGTCACAACTAGGCGGGAGAGACAAATCAATTACACTTAGACCTCCAATTCGAAATACCAACTCTGATTGGGTAAGTGTATAGCACTTATGTCGTCTATGTTTCTTTTCAATCCTCGTATATTTCAATGTATTCTTTTTCTTTAGTATTTATGCTATTATTGTTAGACATAAAGAGCTTTAATTTCAAAATCTTGTAAACATTTAACGACTGATACACAGTGGAGCAACAAAATGAGAGGCTTTCACATCACTAATTACTATACCACAGATTCAATTATCACATTATATCATTACAATGATTGCTGTGTCACCGTTTCCCCTACCAGCTACACTATCTACAGCAGATCCTTCTGCTGCTGCGTCATTCGGATCAGATATGGTTTCTATCGTAGTTCGCAGCTTTGTTTCTACACTTCCTCCTTGGCACTCTTTTATCCTGCTTTCTGGGTTTTATAAACTTTTCGTGAGTTCCATCATCATCGGGCGCTGCACATTTTCGAGATTGTATTTCTGCTTCTATTTCGCTACCGGTTTCCGTATTTACTTGTCTGATGATCTCATCGACATATTGTTTTTAGGAGATCTGGTAAAATTATTAGCTGCTTCAACTTAATTAATTTCAAAACTATAATAAAGTTGCATATCATCGACATAGATGTGATCACTGCAATGCTTTATTATACTAACGATGTGAGAAGTAGAAATAGAAAAGAGAGGAGGACCAAGTATCGAGCACTGCGGAACTCCACACGGTACTTTGAGACTATGTGAAATTTCATCATTATATTTGACAGCCTGTAACTTCCATTCCAGCCTCCATGACAGCACCCAGAGTAACATTTCATGGTTGACAGTATCAAACGTTTTTGAAACAATACAACTAATGTGTTTCTCTCGGAATCGATAGAATTGTTACTTTCAGCGCAGATTTAATTAAATTTGTGCTTTCAGTAATGCAGCCTCACAACTATAGCCATTTCTAGATCCCGATTGTAGCCCAGGTAAAAAAAATCGCTGCTAACAGCCCATCAAAGAACCATATTCCCATTAATTACATCTATGTCTCCGCTAATTATGCAGAGCGAAGTATTAGTGAAACGTTCCAGAAAACCCCTCTACTTTAACATACGTTATATTTGAAAATTATGGAAATCTAAATTATCGCCATTGTCAAATCAAGCAGTAATGTCATTAAATTGCTATAAAAGGATGCATAAATTATCAACGTGTTCTCCGTGAATATTCCAATTAGTAAATGCAGTTCATTCATGCATTACACGGTACTTCACTGCGAACGGAGGAACCCCTCGTCTTTTTACTGATCTTGTTAGCTATGAAAATTGTTTGATCACCGATTCGGAAAGTAAACGCCGCATTTTCCCCCAATTCAACTAGTTAACATTTACCTACAATAAATACGCCATAGACATCGGAAAATGTAGACTGCCACGTCGATTGAACAGCGCGATGAATAGAAAATTAAAAACAAAACCCTAGCTTAATGGTCCCGTTGTTTATACATAACCAAGAGTTTGTTGTACAACTACCAGACACAACTAACTCCTTAACGAGATATCTCTCTATTTCATGTCGAAGAATGTTAGGGTTGGATCGAATCTGCAGAGCAAACAGCACATTTCGCAGCCCCTCGAGGGATTAAAAATTATAATTGGATTGTGTAGGGTTGAAAATACAAGAGGGCCTTGAACATACCTCTGTGTGCTTCTTGTATAAATATGTACTTCCTCTAATTGGAGATTGGGAAACAAAATTAGTCAATTGGAAAATTTAAAGAGGTAAATTCTGCTTGATCTAAATAAAGTGCGGAAAAAGAAAGTACGCTACATCCGTATACTTTTGCTTTTATTCAATTTTAGTGAGAAGTGTTGGCACCATTCGCTTTTCCAACACTAATTTCATTTGCGCGAATTTATGCTCGTTGCTGTATATCTCTCAAACTAACAAAGAAACACAACTCTGGCTTAAATTGAATTTATATAGATTGGCAAAACCGTAACTATCGTTTTAATCCCACCAAACTAAATATAATATAATAATATCTTTCTCGCATTTACCCATATATTATTCGGAGGTTAAAGAGGATAGCACAATTTTTAGCTAAACATAGCACTAACTAATCATTTTAGTCATACATTCTCTGTCAAAATGCTAATTAATTAAACTAATCTAACGACCGATCAGACTTCTGGCAACTGTGAAATGGTTTACTTTCGGACAAATTATACTCAAGCTTAAATTCAAGGAATTCCTACAAAAATATTATTACTTCTATGAATTGGATTTGGTATGGCACGAGCCTCGGCTAGTTTAAAGAGTGCCTCTCTAAAATGTACACTACACTTTTTCTACGACCTGCCCTGTTTCTTTTTACTACGCCAAAACGAGCTTTATGCCCGGGCCCATATGTAGTTATGAATTCACTAAAAGGGTCCTGCAATTCCACTCTGTTTACTTGCGCTCCGTTGCTACCTATGAGGGCATCATGTATGCGCTTTTAGGACCTTCGTGTGACGTCTGTAGCTTTGGAGAATACCCACGTCTTCTTTTGGGATTAAAGAACTAGACAAAATCTTCAGATAGGTATCCACCTGCATTAGCTCGGACGTCATATCGTTCTTTCATACGGTCACTGACCCTTCCGATGTTATTACGTACTATATCGTGAATTTCATCTTCTGTCGGAGGTTGCTGACATAGTCATCATCGGCGATGCGCTCTCCAGGCTTGCATCCAAACTTCAAGTCATATGGAAGTCTTATTTATCTTCCAAATTTAATATTTGAAGGAGTCTGTCCGGTTGGTTCATGTCCCGAAGAGCGATAAGCTATAAGGAATAATTGTAGATGTTGATCCCAGTCTTGTTGATGGTCAGAGACAACTTTGGAAAGATGTCTATTAATTGTTCTGTTCATTCTTTCGATCATTCCAACGCATTGTGGGTGCAATGGAGTTGTCCTCATTTTTCGAACACCCATCGCCTTGCAGACACTAGAAATTCCTGCCTCTGCCCGAATGAATTTTATGCGGAACTCCAAATCGACAAATCCATTCCCTCGCAAAAACGTCTGTGCCGGTAGCCGCTTCTTGGTGTGGCAATGTCGGCCTCCACCCATTTGCTGAAGTAGTTCATCGCAACCATACTGTACTCTTCTCCATCACTTTCTGGGAGTGGTTCAGCTAGGTCTATTGCAACTCTTTCAAAGGAACGTTGTATTTTGCGTAGATGCCTTCGGGTGTCGCTATGTGCCATTGATTGCAGCGAAAAGAACGCACTGGCGGCATCATTCTGCTACATCATCGTTGAGATTGACCAAGTAAAATCTTCCTCGCACTTTTTCCAACTCCCAAGTGCCCACCGACCGTACCATCATGTAGCTCCCTCAGCACTTCTGTAACTTTCTTTCTAGGAATCATCTTCTACCTTCATTTTGTAGGAGAGTTCACTTGAGGAGGCCATTATTGTCCTTAATAATAGAATACATATTCAAGGTTCTTAATGTGATCCTTGAAATTTTTTCAATTACTTTGGTTTGTATTTTTGTTGCATAAAATTAGGCGTCCTTCAGAAGAGTTTTTGCCATTTAAAACTAAACATAGGAAATCCCTATGTCTACTTCTAAATGAATATCACTGGTAGATACTATGCTGCATATGCAAAGATATACCGAAGCGTAGAACCACGATAAAATAATGTTAACTTGGCAGGTCGATTTATTAAACTCGAGCCTCTAAAAGTCGTTTGGTAGAGTTTTAAAGATCAACCGGTCGAGTAGAAAATAATTTCAGTGTTCGCTTCCGTAGAATTGGAATAAATATTTCTTCTTCGACAAGTGGGCGGGCAAAGTGTAGAAATATCAACAAAAAATTCTTACAGACGCACACAAATAATAAAAACTGCCAACGAAATGTACTAACCCAATTATCAAGCTTTTCACTTTTGTCGATGAGATGCAGTTGTAATCTTGGTCCAATTCCCGCAGGACTGCCAAAGTTTTCTATGAGCTTTTTTAGTCGTTCCTGTTTTGATTCATCTAGTATTGGTTGCAGCGTCTTTTCGTATTTTGTGAGGGTTTGTTCCAGGGAAGGTATTGGTAGTTTGGGGAGAACCACATTCTAAAATGAAAAAATAGATATTAGTACTTTCGTATAAAAACACAGAAAATTATTTATTTGCGTTTTAGTACGTTATTATTATCAATAAATGGATAGCTTCCTAAGTTTTCTGTATGTCAGTTAATTTTCTAGCAGTGTAACATACTAACGGTCACGTCAATCATAGCAGGTACCCGCCCACTGCAAAAGTGGTCGTAACTATGCTATTATATTTTCATCTCTATCTAGTCCATGGGAAGAAAAATAGTTTTGCAGTAGGTGGATATTTGCGACTGTTTTTATACTAGACGACGCGACGTATAGTTGTAAAACGAATTGAATGATATAGCGTGACTCATATGGAGAATATTTAGGAATAACTTCTCTTGCGGCCTAAAGCGTCTTTATTAAACGTGGCGTTGTTAAATAAATAAACAAACAAAATGACATTCTTTTCTGCGTAGTATTTAAAAAGAAAAAACAATAAAACAGTAAATTAAATTTCAAATAGAATGTAATCATACTCATACGGAAACTAATTTTTATGTTGTTTATCATTCTTACTAAACCTCTTTGAGAAGGATACTGCAGAACAATGTAAAGAAGTTGATTTCATAACGGTACTAATAAAATAAAACATTCATGCACCATCATTGCAATGTTTACTATTTTGACCAGTTCTGTTCATTTTCGCAGTATCAATGGCGTGTATCTATCATCGGGAACCTTGCGAGGCCTAGAGGCTCCATATCTCACAGGTGCCCGAGGGTTCACAAAACTTGTATTCCTATTTTGTTTTTATTCTATATTTTTATATTTTTTTTGTTGTGACTTATGTACACGCCTGGCGCCCAAAATTACTTTTTCAAACCACGGTGGTTGTTTCACCAGAAGACCCGTTTCCCCTGGCTAGCCGTGGCCAATTTACTTTTCCTTTAAAAGGTTTGCTGCGGGGGTGGGAGGGAGGGAGGGAGGAGGGAGCATACTCCTTACTGAATTATTGCATATCGTTGAATCAGTGCCCGCTCATGCCACACAAAGTTTGTAGACTACTGTAAATTTTCAGACATTCTGTAGCTTTCGACAAGGGTTTAAATAAATATAGAGATTTTATATTTATTTAAACAATGATGAACAATCAATATCATTTAGAAAATAATAAATTAACAACAGATTTTTTTTTAAATCGACTACATTGTCGTAATGTAAATCGCGGTCCAGTTTTTATTGTTGATGGCAGAATCTAAGAAGGTATTTTCATTCACCTCCAATCATCGGAAGGATTCAAAAGCATCAATATCACAATATTGAAGATAACTGTCTATACAGGCAAAATGTTAGCATATAATCACAATGGGTGCATGTATGTAAAATTACATTTATTAATAATTGTCAATTTTTAATGAGTGCGCACTATCTCATTAATTACGAGGTTAAAAAGTAAAGTGAACAATGAAAAAAAAATTGCAAAGTTATCCGTCAGTAACGAATAGATTAGCGCTTATAAGAGGAGCACTGTTTTTTTTGGATCATTTCTAAAATTTGTAGTTGACAGTGCAAATTTTCTACACTTTTCGGTATTTGTGTGCTGTTTTCGAGATAATTTAGTAACTTGCTTCGTTCCGGTAATTATCTTTCGCAAAATATCAGCAAATATTTGTTTCTCATTACGAAAGAGAACGCAGAGTAGGAACTTCATATCGATCTTCACAAGTTAGTAAGGCGTATGAAAATTTAAATCTTCAATCGAGTTTGGAAATAAAATTTTAGTAATGCATATTGGAGTATCAGAGGCAACGTGCGTGTAAAAGTATTTTATCTGCCGTGATGGCTCCGTCAGTATTGATCCGACGTTACATATTCCAATCCAATTTGTACATCTCGCACCTTGTGCGAAATAATCTCATGTGGATGCTATAACGATCGCAGTCTGGCTGATCTACGTAATTTAGTTTTAGAATCATCCATATATTCATAGACGGGGATCAAAATAGGGGATTCACTCATGTGAAATCGGGGCGAGACGAGGCTAGACCCCAATTATCATGCCGTGAATCATTTCAGTAACACCAATTCTAATTAGTATGTTTACTTACGAACTTATGGATGCATTTATAATGTAATGAATACGCCCCCGATGCAATTAGTAATTTCATTAAAAGGAAACATTTCCAGCACTCGTTAGTAATTTGAATATCTTTTCACTGTTGAGGACAACCTAGTTTTGTAACGGATACGAGAGATAACATAATACATGGTCGTGTAGGTTAGGACAGTCAAAGAAATAATGAACTGCATCCCATTTATTTTGGCACCTAGACCTACGTTACTTTATTGTGTGCAGACTAGTTTTAGAAGATGTAAATTACGTTATGCAAATAACTTTCAGAATAGTAAATTATTCCAGTTAGTTATCCACAACTAGCACGGAAAGCTCTTTGTTAGAGATTTTGTAGCATTTCATTTGCAGGCATTTCGATTGTACGTTCATATTCTTTAAACTAGGTTGTGTATGTCTCATTGCATAAAAGCGATTGTATCGCGACTTATGTGACGTCTATTCGATTCCAAAAATTTTGGTTACCGGATAAGTGTGACCGATACCGATGGCACAATAGTTATTTGTTTCATTAGTACAAAAAATGTCAGTTTTCGGGACGAGGAAGATAGTTGCTGGACGACGCGTCAGCGGAGTCCAGCAACCTTCCGAGTCCCGAAAACGTATTTTTTGTACGAATAAAACATAAAATTTTTTCTCCAACCCCCTTTACTTCAAATTATATTCGAATTTAGATTCAGTCACAGTTTCACTACTAGTATAAGAACATCTGCTTTCTTGTTCTCACGTGTGATGCCACTCTAGTTTTTAGGTTAACTTATAACCTATTCGTTCTTACTTCTTACTTCTCACCTCTCGTGACTTTGTAGGGAGCAAATCTTGAGGTAGCATGTTCTGCCGTTTCTATAATCTCTGGCGGAGTGCAATCCATGTCGCTATCAGTTTCAGTCATTTCTAATGCATACACAATTAATATTGTTATATTTGTATTGAAATAAAAAACTTACCATACAGTTTTTTAATTAAAATTAATTGCAATTAACTTTTTCAAATTTTGAATTCAAAATGACAGATAATAGTGCAATGTGTCTTAAGTAGATGGTGTTACGCGCGACGGCGGGTTGTATACGTATTAAAATTACGTTCACCGAATATGTAAATTACGTTACACATGATTTAAATAAAAATAGCGAGCGTAAATCATTTTCAATACATGTACATACGTATAGGTAACATCATTATTTGCATTGAATATGCAAAAAATATTTGATTTGTATGTATAGAAATATCTTACAACCTGCAATGTAAAACGATGTCAATGTGACATATCTCCGTGATTGTAATTTTTAATTGGCCAACTTTCAAGGTCAATTTCTTTTTGGTACTAGGACCAAAAGTATCTACTTTTTGTACAGTTGCCATGGTGAAAACGATTAATCCGCAAAACGTCAATTTTACGTACCGAACACTGTCACAAAATAGCGTCTTATTCAGGTGGTTGGAGAAAAAAGTATTTTACTCAGTATTAGTACATTTAGTAGCGCCCCTCCAACTTGAGGTTCAAAGATTCATTATCTTTTGGTTATTCAATCAAAACATTGGAAACTTTATAAGTAGGTAGCTCATAAATTAGATGCATAGGTAATTTGAGGTTGGATGGTTTCAATTCCAACGAAATGGACAAAATGAATGAGAGGGAATTAGCACATGTAACTTTTTCAAATTGTTTTTATAAAGTTTAGGAGTGCGCATTGCTGTAGGTAGAGAGTCTGCAGGGTGGTCAAGATGTAGGCTTGGTAATTTCAGAATTTAAATAGATTTAGATTTGTAGGGCAGTTCGGAGTTTTGAATTACAGTTGTGCGATCGTTTTTTCTACGTCATTTGATCTCTACAGTGTGTTGAACTTTTAATAGCTTTAGTAAGTCTGGCTCCAGAATGTCGAATATAGGAAGGGATAATTTATATCTCAATTGGCTTTAAGCGCTCACATTTTGTATTGTGCGAACGTAACGCTGCAAATTTAACCGTACGTGAGAGTTTAAATTATTACATTCGCTCACATGTAAGTTGTGGAGCAGGAACCAAGCAAACAAATCATTCATTAAAGATCATCAATTGATTAAAGATGGCCGGTTTCATTAATAAGAAGCCATTTTGTAGGCGTTAATTAGTTATAAAGAAATTAAGCGGTTCGGCGTTGGATTACAGAAAAGATTTTGGCTTGGTGAAAATCCTTTTGTGCTAAAAAAGAAAAGTTTAGAACCATTTACAGTCCGTTCACAACAAACTGCCGTGATAGAAAAAATGTTGCTTGCCTGCAATTTATACATAGAAGTTAACGTCCGAAAAGATTCTCCCATAGAGCAACCATTCCCTGGAGAAGTCATAGAAGTAAAGGTATTCGTCGCGGGCGATCCAATCTATAAATTACATTGTTTACTTCCGAAGAATCAACAAGAAATTACCTGTCTGAGCCTATTTTGTACGAACATACCAACTACTGCAGGACATTGTTATAAGAGCTTTTGTTTATTTAAAGTTAGAGCGTGCTTATCTTTAAGAAAAATCGTCTTACATTATATTTGGTATTATCAACGACAATTTGGATTTGTATTTTTTTTAAGATATCAATTGCTGGACAAATTGAATCCGTTTGTATTAGATGTATTTTACCATTTATAAACCCATTAGAATTGGATTTGATAGAAAAGATTAGTTTTTCATCTAAAGTTGGTTGGTTTAAATTTGAAGAAAGAAAACCTCCAAATTAGTGGTTCCATTGTGATTATCTCTAAGGTGAATTGTGTATTAAAAAATTGTGACATGTATTGTTATTAGGTTTGAATTGTGGGTAGTTAAAAAAATCGTGGCCATGGATATTAACCTATTTAAGTAGAAATTCAATCTTATAAAAGGGATTGTAAATTGGATCAATTTCATTGATTTTTTGTGCTTTATCTT